GGGGGCGGGGCGGGGGGCCTTGCGGCCGGCCGGGGGGTCCCTGAGGGAGCCCGGCGGGAGCAGCGTGGGGGACCCTGCGGCCGGCGCCGACAACCAGCGGCTTCCGCCACGCCTTCGTCCGAGCTTTGTGAAAACCCACACCCGCTTTTCTCTTTAAAGTTTAATTTGCTTACCAATAAAGGAATTTGTAAAAATATGTAAGCAGAGGAGGGAATTGCAGTTTCTAGCAACAACTGCTCTCTAAGGTGTCCTGGCAATAAAAGGCCACTTTATTGCCGGAGAATGGATTTCGATAGGCAAATGTGGGTCTCAGAGTGAATTTGGGAATGACCTAGAGAGCCTCTGAGCAGTAACTGAATTAGTTTGCAGGATCCAGATAAGAATTTGGTGTTTTGAAATAATTTTGGCGGGAGAGGGCGGAAGGGAGAGATGGAGGACACTGTGCAGATCTGCAGGGCGGGGAGGTCGGGACCCCGGGACAAGTTGTCTGGCGGGAGAACTGAGGCTCTGGGCTCGCTGGGTAACAGCCCACCCATCCCCCAGCTGGGATGGAGATCGCCCTCTCCCGGAAAATGTTAAACACAAATCCCTCGGTCTTCCCTTCCCCCTGCCCCTCCTTGTTTCTTCCCTCCTCCCTCCCTCCATCTCCCTCTCTTTTCTTTCTAAAAGGGCAGAATTTGAATTCAGCCCCCCCTGCCCCCACTGTGGAGCAGGGGCAACTCCAATGAGACACTCCTTAACTAAATCGTAAGGGACAGGAAGACTCTGGTGACATCTGGTTTACAGATACACCTCACAGGTTGTCTAGAATTGGAGGGGGCATTAAATTCTAGTTCATTTATTTTTTATTTTTTGTGAGGAAGATCAGCCCTAAGCCAACATCCATGCCAATCTTCCTCCTTTTTTTTTTTTCCCCCAAAGCCCCGGTAGATAGTTGTATGTCATAGTTGCACATCCTTCTAGTTGCTGTATGTGGGACCCAGCCTCAGCATGGCCGGAGACGTGGTGCATCGGTGTGCACCTGGGATCCGAACTCGGGCCACCAGTAGCGGAGTGCGCGTACTTAACCGCTAAGCCACGGGGCCGCCCCTAAATTCCAGTTCAAACTCAAGCAACAGTGGACTTCTGGGGAAGTCTGCGTTCCGTCTTTCCTCTCTCCTTCTCCCCTTGAGAATGCTCTTCAAAGAAAAGATTTGAGGATAGGAGTAAGGAGATACAAAATTTGTATGAACCTGATGTTCCCACTGTTTCCTCGAAATCCAAGAAAAAGGGTTTTGCAGGCCCAAGTGGCTGCTGCTCACCTTGACCTGTTCTAGCCTCTGCTCTACCTTTTCGGACAGGTGTGGAATAGAGAAGCAGGATGCTTAGAGAGATGCCCCTGAACTCAAGTCTAGTTCGGACTTCAAGAGCAAACCCTGATTCATATTGACTTGATTGGGGGGGATAGGAGAGTGGGAGGTGGGGAAGAGGAGTGGGCTAATGAAAAAGGGATGGCATAGGGTTAAAAATTAGTAAATTGTAGCAACTCCCCTTGGAGAAGATTGCTGTTTGTTCTTGTTGGGGTCAAGTTTGAAAAAACATTAGCTACTACCAAACTGGACACAAGAGAACATTGTCAGGTTCTCCAGCACCCCTCTCCTCTGGTCCTGCAGAGTTCCCGGCATCTGCCAGGTGCCCGTCTCAGCCACTGTGGCTGTGGCCCTTGTGGCAGCTTCTGATGCCATCAGGTGTCCTGGAGTGTGACCTCTACCAAAGAGGACAAATGGGGCGACTCCCCCCACAGCCACCCTAACTGCAGAGTTACTGCTTTGCTGTCACTGGTTATCCGGCCCCACAGTCCGGACATCCCATTACTCCTTGAGGAGAATGGCCTCCAGGGATCTGTGAGGCAGGCCCCCGCCAGATGTCACCTAGTGGAACTATGACCTGATTCCCCTCAGAAACGCACACTCACCTCTTTTCAGCCCCAGAGGTTTTCTTTTTTTTTTTTTTTTTTACTTTTTTGTGAGGACTAGCCCTGAGCTAACACCTGATGCCAATCCTCCCCTTCCCCGCCCCCCCGCCCCCCCCAGGAAGATTGGCCCTGAGCTAACATCCGTGGCCATCTTCCTCTACTTTATATGGGACGCCCAGCCCCAGCCCCAGAGGTTTTCAATCTCCCGTGCTGTTTTGGGTGATGACCTTGAACTCCACCCAATTCTGATGACCTCTCTTGGGTTGGCCATAAAGGCCAGGGTACCACCTGGACACCTCCGCAGCCCGAATATTCTAGGAGCAGCTTCCACTTGAGGCTGGGTTATCCTGTCTTTCTAAAAAGAGGCCTAACCATCCCGAGTCTTTTCTAGGACTGTTCTGATTGACAAATAGAACATATTTGGAATAGGCTATCATAATATCTGTAACTATTCCTAGCTCATTTTAATCAATTAATATACTTAATGTATTTGAAACTGTACTAGACATATGGGGTGGTGGGGAGAAATGGTAATAAAATTGTGTCATTCTCTACACTTGAGTTGGAGAGGCAAAATTAACGAATAAACAATAGTAAATAATGTAAGGCAAAAGAATTTAGCACTAAATGGTATAGGCTCTAAGTGCTTTAAGAATTTAAAGGAAAGGTGGGGGAGATAGCAAGATTTTTATTAGTTAGAATTAGTTATTCAGATTTTTTTTCTGTCCCTTTCCACCCTCCATGAAAGGTGGGAGAGAGGGAGAAAGGGCAGCTGCGTTAGTGTTTGTCAGTGTGTCAGTTCCTTTTGGTGCCCTGAAACGCCCCTCCTGCTGCAGAGTCCTGGGTAAAGGGACGTCCACAGCAGGCTCACGAAGTGTGAGTGTGAGGACTCAAAAGTACAGAGAAGAGGATCAGATGACAGTGGGAAGAGGAGGGTTCACTTCCTGCCTCTAGGGTGGACCTGCCGCTGCTGCCCACTGTCCTCTTCCTCTCCCGGATTCCTCTCCCATGCTTACCGGCAGTCCTCACACCTGTGTCCACTGATCGTGCCAGGCTGTGACTAGGCAGCGTTTCTCCACCAACGAGAGCCGCCTAGAGCTGGAGTCAGAATGAAAAAACAAAAACAAAACAAAACTGCAGCCAAGCACCCTTCTATGCCATTTCCTCCTTTCTTCCTTTACTGTATATGGCACCCGGAGATCGGCGTATGAACATCCTGCAGAAAGGAAACCCGCTTTCAGAAATGAGCACGACTATGTGAGGGTCCTGCCTGCGGCTGTTGGAGGCTGTGCCCAGAGGGCAGTGGTGCTGTCAGAAGTGGGGAAAGGCCTGCATGGGGCTCAGGTGGCCGCGGCACCACAGGGCATGTTTTCTTCACTGTGGATGTAGCTCCTCACATGTTAGGTTACTACAGTGTTTATTCTCTGTGACTTATTTTGGGTAATAAGATCCTTTTTCAAAAAATTACCATTTTCCTTTTAATAGGTGATTGGAAAAAATCACATTCTGAAGCCTTTCAATTTTTGTTTTTAATCTAGGGTGAAAACAGAGTTTTCCCCTTTGAATCATCTTCACCCTTATCATGGAAGTTATAATATACATACATATGTAACATATATGACATAACATGTACAACGTGAAGGATATTATTCATACAAATATGCTTGGTTAACTTTGCAGGAATTCACCTCTTCTGATGAGTGAGGTGATACCCTCTTGGTCACCAGCTCCCACATTCTTCAGAGTTAGGGCACTAAAAGCAGACACTCCAATATTTATTTACTCCTGAAATATTTATTGGAGGTTTGTGATCTGTGTGTAGCACCATAGCAGCTCTTTCTTCTGAAAGAGCTTTCACCTGGTGGAGGAGATAAACTATATCACCGCAGGTTAGAATATCAACATAGACATGTCAAAGGCCACGCGCAGTCCAGCACTGAGTCCGTGGGCAGACACCAGAGTCCCAGAGGAGCTGAGGAAGGAGTGAGCTCCGTGTGGTGGGATGATGGGTGCTTCTTGAAGGGGGTCAAGTGCAAGTGGAGTTTGCAGGGTGGGTAACCTGAGACAAATAGGGAGGAGGAGGATGGCCCATGCCGTGGGGAAGGTAGGAGGTGGGAAGGAAAATGGTGGTGGTTCAGGGAGAGGACAGGTGGTCCCAGGAAGCAGCGGAGGCCCGGCTGTCAAGGTGGGACTGTGCAGGGCCTGGGCTTCGTCCTCCTGCCCTGGGGAGCCCTGAGGAGGAGAGCAGCATAATGGAAATGACATTTTGGAAAGATGAGAGGTTTTATAGCAAAACCAGAGAGCCCTCCGGACTCCGTGAAGTTGCTGGTCTCGCAGCTGTCCCACATGAGGCTTGATCCCAGTTTCCTATCTTTCAGGGTCTCGTCAGTGAACAGGCTGGAGACGAGGCGGTGTGTTGCTTTCCTTGTATGTGCTTTAGCACCCCAATCCCTGAGCATGTCTAGTCTCTAAGCAACTGTTAATTCAGATATAATTTATCCATTCTCTCAAGAGTCTTTGAAATGAAACCAGGCAAAGGGCAAAAGACAGTCACCCAATCTAAGTTAGAGAAGTTTATAGGACTCTCCTCTCTCCCTGCCCCCAATAAATATATTTTTATCCTGTGTTTCCAGGGTGCACTGAGCTGTTCTAAGAGCTGTGTGGGGGAGAGGATCTATAGAATTAAAGAATGTCATGTGAGACCTGGTCCGTCT